TATTCTATGTAGTTGAATGGTTTTAATACTGCTCTTCATTCCCTTTTTCTACTTTCAGGAAGGAGGCTGCAGTGTGCCTGTTGCTGTTCATACAGAAGTGAAAGGGTCCATGGTAAAGAGACAAAATATAACTATATTTACAGACATTCAGTGGCATGTTATTATGCTACTTCACACAATGCAAATCTGAATAAGTGTTGTTGATGTTTGTATAGCATAGACTGAATTATCTTTTTTCTGGTTTCAGCTGTATTTGACTGGAGCAGTTTATAGTTTGGATGGAGCTGATTGCTTGAAGGACACTATGCAGACGGTTGTGGAAATTGACAACAAAGTAAGGGTTAAATATACATACATACAAAAGGTTGGGGTCAGTATGATTTTTTTTTTTAATCAGCAAGAATGCATTAAATTGATCAGTGACAAGACGTTGTTACAAAAAAAAATCTTTTTTTGAACTTTCTATTCATCAAAGAATCATGGAAAAAATGTTTAATGGTTTCCACAAAAATATGAAGCACTGTTTGCAACATTGCTGATGATGAGAAATCAGCATATTACAATGATTTCTGAAGGATCGTGTAACACTGAAAACTGGAGTAATGATGCTGAAAATTCAGCTCCTTAAATATATAAAAATAGAACATTTAATATTTAACCGTATTACTATTTTTTGTAATACTGTATTTTGATTAAATAAATGCAGCCATGGTGAGCATGAGGTTTCTTTCAAAAACATAAAAAAAAAATCTTACCAACCCCAAACTCTTGAATGTCAATGTATTTACAATTTTACAACATTATATATTATTATTTACAGTATTATAACTTTTATTCCAACTTGTTTCTATCAGGTGAGCGAGAGTGCACAGGAGTGCGTACACGCTGGAGTCACTGCCAACAGTGTATCATCATCAGCCCTCGAAGCTGCTGAGAAACTGGGAATGGATCTGGCAAATGCTCTCCTTAATAAGGGGGCCAAAGACATTCTCACAACAGCCAGGAAACTAAATGATGCTCGATAGCTGGCTTTTTACATTTTGCGCATTGGCGTATTAGACCTAGTTTTGGAACCTTAGACATGCTGTTAACTTGGATAAACCTTACACACAACTATATGCTCTATAGCCGAATCTCCAGAGCTTAAATACAACTTTGATTGGCTGTATAAATCTGTATGTAAAAACAACCAGCAAATCACTTCAGATACTATACCTCAGTTTAACAATGTGACCGCAGCAATTTTTCTCTCAGCTGCTGGTTCATACACAAGACTACCGTCGTCTCTTCTCAGGCACAGAATTCTGGAAGAATTCATGCTGATGGTCTTCCATTTCTAATGTCAGACTGCCACCTTTATCTATGAACCACTTGAAAATGAGGTGGTCAAAATAGCTATCTTTTATATCTGGCCATGGTTTTTAAATTTAGAATCGAGTATTTTTTATCTTTATGTACCTCTAACAAAATATGGCATTTTTATTTAACAGCATATCCTGTTTTTAATATACGATGCATTTTAGTAATGGAGAATATTTATTAATCACAATGATGAGGTGCCAAGATGTAGTTTCCTTCAAGTTCTTTAGAACTTGGGCTCCATGTAAGATTTTTTGACAAAGTAGGCAATTTAAAGAAAAATGTATTACGTTTTATATTTAGAATATTTTTATGGTTTTGATCCCACAATGTACCTTCATGATGTGATTAAATTAACCAGCAAATTCTTTGACCTACAACGCTACTTTCTGCAATTATATCAATATGAAGTTTCTGTAATAAAAAAAAAAAAAAAAAAATTTATTACCCCCGTT